TCAAAGATCTCAGACCTGAATTAAGAAGGTCTTATAAAGTGATTTATCTGTCTGTCACTATGGGGACTCCATACAAACCACTTCTGGCTTCTATGAACAGGCGTTCTCTGAATCAAAAACGTTGCAAGCTCACAAATACGAATAACTCATTCAACCTGAATACATTTCAGGATTTCAACCTATTTTTTATATATATTTTCAGTCCATTCATACAGTTTAGAAGTTAAAAATGGTACAACTTTATTACAATACAATAAAAGTGAAAATCACAAGTTTATAGCTCTATGTTTCCCATTGTTTGAAATTTCCACCTGAAAATTGTTCACCGACCATTTATTGAGAAGAAGACGGAAAATAAGCACATAGCCTATAAGTTTGATGATTGTTTTCCTTTCCTCAACAACCATTAGGTGCATTACTGCCACCAACAGGTAAGGAGTATAACAGCTTTGTGGGGGGGTGCAGATATGTTTTTTTTTTATTATTTCTAAGTCGTACTCATAACTTTATGATTTGTACCTATAGATTTACATAACGTTAACTCTCATATTTTAACCTCCAAACTTCCAGAGATAATCCTTCTGATTGTCTTGATCGCAGCCCCGGTAGCTGATCTCATTATTCAATTAATTCACCTGTTCTTCCCTCCTCCTTTTCTAATTATCATTAATCTTTATCAGCTGCTCCCTCTGCTATATATACAGCCCAGCCCAGCTATCAGGGCCAGATCATTGCTCTTGTATTTCTTAGTTTATTTGTGTATTAGGTTGTTTGTGTTATGTTGTCATGTCCTTTATTCATGCTTGTTATGAGTTTTAGTTTAGTCCCTGGTTCATGTTCCCATCCCCGGAGGCCAGTGGATTTAGAGGGTTTAATGTTTGACTCCTGTCTCCTGATCACGGCCTGGCTCCTCTCCGCTGAGCCCTCAGTGTTTTGGCTGAGGGGAGACAAGTTTAAAGTTCTGCATTTAGCCTGGTACCATGTCTTGTCTCTGTTTCTCTCGACCACTGAGCCTTCCTGTTTTCCTCTGAGCATGTCTGTCTGAGTTTGCTGCTGGACTCGTAGATCTCTGAACCTGCCTGAAGGCACTGTGGATTCCTGGAACCCTGGTTCTGTCTGTTCTTGTTCGGATCGGAACCCCTGTTCCGGCTAAGGACTCCCAGGTCTTGGAACTGTCCGGTTCTGGACTGTTTCTCTGACCTGGATCGGTCTCCTGCCTCCTCACTGGGGTTGCTGCATTAGGGACACTTTGGATGGCTTTGAGCCGCAGCCCGTTTGGCAGTCCATTGGCTGGATCTTACCTTCTTGAGAGTGTTACCTTGAGAGTGTCACTGATTAGGCGGTTCCCTACCCCCCACCGGTCCGCTTTTCCTCTGCGGCCTTACATCCCGTTCTGTTTTATTATTTTCTGTCATTAAATGTTTGTAACTTCCCCTTGTCTGACTCTCCTTGAATGCTGGGTCCATCTGTCCGGTCTTATGTCATTGATCTCATGTAATATCTTTAGTTTGGAAAACCTGCTTTGGTTTCAATGTTTTTTGTACATTAGTTAATTAACACAAGGCTAGTAACGTTTATGGCACAGTTTGGTTGGATACTGATGTGTTAGACACTCTAATGTGTTCAGGAATAAATCACATGTGGCTATAATGTCTGTGATTTAAATCCTGCCCCACTCTCAGTGTTGCATGTTGAAAGGACATTTTCCTGTGAAGGTCTAATGTGTGGTTTAGGTCTACACTATATGAAGGTCATACAAAACATTTCACTATGAAATAGACAGAAACCCTAACAATAACTTACTTAGGTCACTCAAAGAAGGGAGTTTAAAACTCGTAGTTTCCAAAGCAGTGCTTGATCATTTATTCATGGTTAAGGCTTCTTTCTGGTAGATTTAGCTCAGATGGAGCTGTGAGCTGCCAGGCTTCCCTGGGAGGCAGCAGAGGTGCTTCATCTCATGTCATGTCTGATGCATTAAAGCCTTTCTTCTGGTCTAGTTTTTTCTGAATATTCCACCAGATGGGTGTTAAGGCAAGCGTGAACGGCACCACGGAGAGCAATGGGAGTGGAGCGAAAACAAGTGGTAAAACAATTAAAGCCAATTTGTGAAGGAAGGACAGAATTAACCTGCATAACGAGTTTTCAAACCAGAGAGGACAGAAGACTTGGAGAGAGCTGAAGTCTGACAAACAGACACTTAGAGAGGCGGAGAGTGAGAATTAACCTGCAATCAGGCCTCTATTTAGCTGCAGTCAGCCACAATCAGCCACCGTATTAGCATTTAATTAGTCTGACAGCCACAAACCACGGCCTGCCGCTTCGCTCTGATTATCTCATGCTCTTCTGTCAGATCTGTATGGAGCGTCACCTGCATGGAGGAAGGTATGCTTCTCCCGACATGGTCATATCACTCTCCAAGTAAAACTTTTAGGAAGAAGTCCTTAACATGACTTCTATCATAACCAATTAAGATCATGTGTAATGATCTGCCTGAATAACAGACGCTGTTAGCTGCCAGCAATAAACACATGAAGAAGAAAAGCAAAAATCAATTAGCTCCCTCACTCTTCCCTTCCTGATTGATGCTGCTCCTGACAGCAGAGACATCCTGGACAGAGGACACCAGTCCCTCACAGAACAGCACAGAGACAGAGGGGTACCTTTATAAGTCTCCCTATTGAGAACATCAGCCGCAGCAATGCGCCTCAGTCGCCATAAAGTAACACAGCAAGAAAACAGACAATAACTTTAAAATAAAACATGATAAACTATCTGGAAAACTCAATATATAACGACAACAAGAGAAAATCAATTCATCCATCTTTTTTCCATCATGCTTATCATGGCTGGGGTCACAAGGGGTGCTGGTACATATCTCCAGCTGTCCAGCAGTCATGTTTTTGGGCTATGGGAGGAAGCTGGAGTGACCGGAGAGGACCCACGCATGCTCAGGGAGAACATGCAAACTCCATGCAGAAAGACCCCAGGCCGCGAACCGCACCCGGATCCTTCTTGCTGCAAGGCAGCTGTGCTACCCACTGCCCCACTGAGCAGCCCACCAGAGAAAATCACCAGTAAAATAATATGCATGCTGCGTAGTGACTGGATGCAGCTTTTTGTTTTCCTCAGATCTCTACAGAAAGTTGACCTCCTTTAGTCATCGGGTTTGTGTTTGTTGTTTTAGGACATCTTCTGCTTAAAGGGAGCAAAAAGGTAGAGCAAGGATGACGGTTCTTATTCCTGAAAGAACTAATGATTAAAGAGCCACTCAGATTAGCTTAGTTGATCTTCATTGCAAGCTGAATTTTTTTTTAGGTGCATTTTCTCTTGTGTCCATCACCGGCCCACTCATGGAGCTCCTTGAGTTTTTTACTGTACTGTCACAGGTAGGTGCTTTGGCCGGATATCAAGTGTTGGGGCGGTATAATTTTAAGGCGGGCCGGCCCTTGCACTCTGAAATTAGGACATGCTTGGTATCACAGATTACCAGTCCGAGCCTGCTTGTGTCTTAACACCAGAAATATCAAGGAGATGGTAATCGCCTTCAGGAGAAAGCCCTCACCTAACTCCCCTGTGAACATCCAGGAAAAGGACATAGAAACTGTGGAGAGTTTCAAATACCTGGGCTTTCACGTCAACAATAATCTGGACTCCACCTTCAAAGAGGTCTCAGATAACAAGCTAAAAAAACACCAAATCTAAAAGTAAATGTCCCCGAAAATAAGTCTGTCTATGAAGAAAAAAACTTCACCTGACAAGACTTTCTTAAATGAAATAATAAAACCTTTTTAAGTCAGCTTTACACTACTTTCAGTCATTCAAGCATACACTGATGGAGGCAAATTACATTATAGCCAAAGCTGCCCTGGAGCTCACTGCCGTACACTGACCACCATCAGCAGACAATGCAGGAAATGTAGGGGAAGCATGTTGCTTAAGGACACAACGACACTAAAAGCCAGAGCAGGGGCTTGAACTGACAACCCTTCTGTTGCAGGGCAAAGTCCTACATCATTTATGGTTGGAGGCCTAAAATAAGAAAATTTTACTCTAAATCTAATTCTTGTTATCTTACTAAGAACCAGATTATTTGCAGCTGCAGCTGAAGTTGTTTCAACAGCTTGGGAAATCTGAAGAAAATTTCACATCTCATTTTCAAGATTTTCCATTTGGGTGGAAAAAATACATTGAAAAGTTTTCCTAATTTTCTTCCACTTCAGTTTAGGTTCTAGATTAAGAAGGAAACTCCAATAAAATACAATCAAAGTTGTGATTTTAATGTGAAACAATTGATGATATTGAACCATTTATGGTAGGACTGTAGTCTGGACAGAAATGTTATGTGAATACGGAATAACCTTAAACTTTACTTCAAAGATCCGTGTATTGTATCACTAAATAAAACATGTTTTAATATTTTACAATCAGAGTGCACTGAAAAGATTATCTACTGCAGCAGTTTTCCAGAGAAGATTAGTCTGACAGGAAATCAGGAGTAATAATATCCAGCCCGTATCTAAACACATTACATCACCGTAAAATCCAGCATCAACAGGTTTTTCATCTGCTTTTTAAGTTCGAAACTTCTTCTAAATATCTTAAAATTAATGTTACTAAGGAAGATTATTATTTGTGTTTTTTTTTTATTTGGATTCTATGATTTCAACTATTTAATCAATGTGAGGCTTTTCTATTTAGTATATTTGTAGAGTTGGACGTATGACTGTGTTGTGTGCCTGATGCAGAAATGCTGCAGTGGTTTAAATGATAAAATCAGGATCAGATCAGAGCATTTATTAACTAAATAGTTAAATTCCTGCAGCAGTTGCATGCAAACTCCTTAAAGCTTTTGGATTGATGTTAGCATCAAACCTCCAATTAAAGTCATGTGACTTGAGAAAACAGATAGACAGTAAGCTGAACTCTAGTCCACCTTTTCTGAATGGATCTACCCTTCATGCCACCAAGTAGCACCTCACTGTGCGCTCTTCTCCACTCACCGCCATCGTCTTCATCAAAGGAGTTCATGCAGGGGAAGTAGATGGCCAGGGCCTCAAAGGACGCCGAGAGGCTGATGCGGCTCTGGGATCTCTCCATGTAGAGGCCCGGCGTCGGGCCCGGGTCGGCCGGCTTGGCCAAGCGCGGCTGGGCATTCTTCACGCGGAGTACGGCTCGCGGCGTCTTGGACGGCTGTCTGCTGCCCCCACGGCAGATTCACTTCACCCCGAAAACAAGAGTCTGGACAATAACCCCAACACCCACCAGAACCTAACACAGATTCAGTTATAGCACTTTAAGCAGGAGTTCAGGAAGAGGAAATTGTGAGAAGACTTTAGAGAAGTGTGCTACACAGGTGCAAAAAGCATCCAAAGGAAAGTAGAGGCGCAAGAAATGGATGCTCACTTCCTTCACGTTCATGCCGTGTTTGCTTGAGAAGAACCTGTGCCAGCCTTTGCTTGCAGTGAGATACTTGCATGCATCTTTCACCCTCCGGGGTCTGGTCTTCACAAGTCGTCTCCCTGGTGGATTTACTGGCATCACTTGCTGACTCCTGCCTGCATCTTAACAACACCTGGACTTGATGTTTACGTTTTTGGTTCACAACATACCTCCGAACTCACATCCTCCATATATTTAGTGCAAATAAACGACTTGTGGTCTTTGGTGTCTGTAAAAAGGATGAAGAGGTGATGCAGACTGTGGTAAAGGTGATGTTCACTGTGTCGCTTTTCCAGATGAATCAAAAATCTCTCCTGTTGTCACCTTGCATTGTTAGTTCCTTCTGCTCTGAGCAGAGCCACTGCTTTCCTTTCATTCAGAGAAATTGTCTCTTCAAATCCAGATATTGCAGCTTCGTCTCAGATCCGTTGGGTCACCATCAATCGCAGCAACAGTTGTACCTAAGGGGCAATCTGTTGCTTCCGTCTGGCTTTGCATCTGTTTCACGCGTAGGTTTATCTGTTGTTGTTGGAAATGTGCAGAAGCTGGTGGTGCTCCCAGCAGGCTATGTTTTCTGGCTTCTCCTTTGCTCCTCTGTGGCTCTGTTTCTGTGTCGATGCTTCTCCGTCTGCTCCAAAGGAGAGAAGGACAGAGAGGAGGAGAACGAGATGAAGAGGCGAGAGTCTGAGCGGACTAATTCACTGGTGAGCAGCATAGACAGAGAATGAGGGGGGTGGGGGGTGGGGGTTGAGCAGAGGAGAGAGTTAGCAGACTGCTGCCGGCAGCTGCACCAATCAAAATGTGGATGAGGGAATATAGGTGTGGCTAGGAGGCAGTCAAGGCAGTGATGGGCGATACATGTTCAGAGTGCCCCCACCCCAACACCCCCACAGTGCCTCTTTTCATCTCTGATCAAACACATCATTCAAGCAAAGATAATTAAATAAAATCTATAAACCACCAATGACAATAAATACCGTCTGTGGAGCCAGAGCTGAGGGAGGGTGAAGAACAGACCTGATGGAGACCTGATGGAGACCTGATGGAGACCAGCTGAAGATCTACTGAAGACCTGATAGAGAACTGATAGAGACCTGATGAAGACCTGAGGTAGACCTGCTGAAGACCTGATAGAGAAGTGATGGAGAACTGATGATCTGATGGAGACCTACTGAAGACCTGCTGAAGATCAACTGAAGAACTGATAGAGACCCGAGGAAGACCTTATAGAGAACTGATGAAGACAAGATAAAGAACTGGTGAATACCTGACAGAGAACTGATAGAGACCTGCTGAAGACTTGCTAGAGAACTGATGGAGACCTGATAGAGACCAGATAAAGGCCTGATAGAGACCTGATAGAGACCTGATAGAGACCAGATAAAGGCCTGATAGAGACCTGATAGAGACCTGATGGAGACCTGATAGAGACCAGATAAAG